ATTTGACTTCTAAACAGTATTTTCGGTTTTTCTTGAAAACGCCACCTCCTATCGACTTTGGACAAGAGGGTCTTTTCTGGGTAAAATTGAATGCTCTTTCATATTTTTCGAAAACATTTGCAAAATATCAAATCGGCTATACTTTTTTTTATAAAAATATGCATAGAGACCCCTCTATCTCCACCACTGGAACTAATATGCGATGATTTTCTGTGTCAAATTATTTGCCCTTAAATACTAAGTCTTTCGCCGCAACATGATGATTTTTTTTGTCAGCGGTTATTTAGTTAAAAAATAAATAAATAAAACAAAAATAAAATTGAACGCCCTGTATCTCAGAAACGAAGCGTTTTAGGACCCATATATATAGGAACTTTTAGACTCAAAATGAGGTCTTCTACTGATTCCTGAAGTCCTGCTATTTAAATGTGAGACACCCTGTATATAGGAACTTTTAGACTCAAAATGAGGTCTTCTACTGATTCCTGAAGTCCTGCTATTTAAATGTGAGACACCCTGTATATATAAGAGAATCAATTCGATTCACAAAAATGAAACTTAACTGTTATTACATAAATAAACAATGCCGTTACAAGTTACTAGGTTACGGAAACCTTACACAAGTATCTACTATGAAGTTTTTCAAATTTCTTACTTTGTAATCTACCACTAACAATAGTAAACTCGCGTGATTCTGCCCGCTAGGACCCGCCCTTTTTCGAGCGGCTGTACCATTTGGTAAATGCCTTATACATCTTCACTATTTCTACGTTCGCTTTCTCATTTCCTTTATCCTCAGTAGTAATTCTTGAAAACGTTTTTAAATGGGACCCATTATATTTTCCTAAAATAAACAGTGTTTTCTACAAAAACAGGATATACGTTTTACTTTTCTAATTACATGCAAGTTACTTATATTATAATCACATTTTTCTAATTAAAAATTGTGCTGATATATTAATTTCTTTGTTAAAATCTTAAGTTTAATAAATCATTTACACCAAAATAGTCTCACTCATAAATTATGTTATTTCTTACTGTATATGGCTTATTCTATTTGGGGCACCATATATATTGCGGCCAGATGTATCCTCAACCAAAATAAATATTTTGGTGCAATAACTATTTTCTCTTGCCAAGTGCTGTATCAGATACGAGAACTTAATATATCGGAAAATTTATTCTTGCTACCTGAGTTTAATATTTTTCTCATACCTTGTTCCTTCCAGGTCAACATGAAGATCATTCTCTGCTTAGCTCTGGTAGTTGCGTCTCACGCTCTACCCAAAGCAGATGTCTACCCTCCACATTTGACCCCCTTTCGTGTCAGCACGCCCATGGACCAACTCCAAACCTTTATAAGACCAGTGCAGACGCTGCCTACCAAAGTACACGACGTGAGTCTAGAAGACACCATTCCAGAGTCTTTCGATGCTCGTGAGCAATGGCCCGACTGTCCATCCATTGGAGAAATCAGCGATACAGGGAATTGTTGGGCTCCTTGGGTAAATATCAAGTGATCAGTGTATTACTTATCAATTTGTTATGCTCATCCATGCATCAGATCTAGAATTAACAACTTGTTCTGTTTGTAGGCTCTTTCGGCCGTCTCAGTTATGTCTGACAGGTTCTGTATCCACTCTAAAGGCGAAAAGAAAATAAAAGTCTCAGCGGAGGATTTATTAGGTTGCTGTCAGGATTGCAGCCTCGGCTGCCTTGGAGGATACCCGGACACTGCCTGGGATCACTGGGTTAAAAATGGCATTGTCACCGGTGGAGGATACGGAGACACAGATGTGAGTTAGGAAAGAAATTCTTTTAAACCTTGTCAGCCCAATATCTCGAAAATCAACAGAGATATCTCGGTTATGTTAAAGATGTAGTGTAGTGTATGTAAATAGCCTCAACTCTGAGTAGAGTAATATTACTTTTTATAGCGGTATAGATGAAGCAATGATTCAGATAGCAGGAACTTTGAAAAGCAGTTCACTTGAGAAACGATAAGTAGCTTTTTAGAAATACTTTTAGCTGAAAGAAAAAGAAGAATAATTGGTCAATAATAACGACAAAAATAATTTTACCTCATTTCTTCGCAAATTAGTTATTCTTAGATTTTTTTCTATGACACGTTACGGAAATATATTCAGACAAATTAATTATTTTTTGAATCCTATCTAATGAAGTCAAATTTCTCTAATACCAGATATCTACGCATGTAAAAGATATCTAACTCTAACTTGCCATCGAAAAAATTCTTTGCTACTTTGCGCCACGAATACCGCGACGAAGAGGGATGTTTTTGTTACACGGAATTAAAGTTATTTGTATGTATTAGAGGTTTTGTTTGTGACAAAAATACTATTAGCAAACGGACTATGTCATTATATAAAAGACGTCTGTAGATATATGCTTATATGTTTCCTATACTAAAATTTACCATTAAATTAATTTTTTATAAGCATATTTATGCAAAAAACGCATTTTTTTAGTTTTTTGTTTATAAAACCTACACTAATGAAGCAATCTGAATGCTACAATGAGACAATTTGTAGAGAAATGAAATACGAATATAACGAGAGGTCGATCAATCCGATCAGATAATTAGAAACGAAGAAAACCTAGAAAAATCGGAGAATTTAGCGTTTTTTAGTTGTAGAACTGACCCTGTGCACAAAAGTAGTGAATTATATGTACTTTAAATTGCACAAAGCAGGCAATGTCGGACCAATAGTTTTGGCGATAGTTTTTTTTACATAAAAATGTTTATAAAAAATAAAATGGCAAATTGGAGTAGGGAACATACAGGGTGTTCTACATCGAATTTTAAGGTAAGTTTCATAACCTTACTTTATCTTTAAACTCAGTCGTTTCTGAAATATTTTGACTTTTTCAAAATTTTTGAAAAAAACATACCTACACTTAATCGGTTCTATCTCCTTCAATTTTTAAGATAGGAAGCTGAAATTTTAGATGGTCAATACCAAAACGTGACCAAATATTTGGAATATTCGAAAGTTGGTGCATGTTACACAGGGCGTTTAAAAATCATGGACCAATTGTGTCAAATTGAAAGTTTAATACCTCGCTTATTTTAAATAGAACACCCTGTGTTTTATAATGCCATTAGATGCACCTGTTAATTCTCTTTCCATTGGTATAAGCATTCCCTATACCTAAATCCCACCGATTTTGAGATATTTGAACATAAGTACAGAGACGAATATAATCCGACAGTTAGCTGTAGGTTGGCTGTGGAAAAACATTTAAATGTCACCAAGTGTCATTACTTATTTAGCAGATTTGCTGTCATTGCTGTAAAGCGAGTTTGTCGATTTTCCAAGTGTTTTCAATAACAATGGCACACTCTGGGTACACACACGACGACTACACGTCGGGGTAAATCGTCAGGTTGCAAATGGTGTATTAACATAAATGAAAATGGCTTCCATTTATGCTTCTTCAGAATTCTGTGAATAGTTCCTATTGATAGACGTGAATTTATTATGCATCTCTAATTGACGCCTGTGGATAAGCGGTGAAAAATGCCAATACATTTACTTCATTTTCTTCGTTGTCCACTGATGTCTTACCTTTATCATGTTTCGGGAGAAACTTTCCATTCTCAGAACAATTCTTTAATAGTCTTCTGACCATATCATGACTTGGTCTGTGCTTATTTGGATATCTTTCTGCAAACACGCGACATGTTCTACTAACAATTCTATTACACTCCCCGTAAATGATAATTAAATTTAAAAAGTCGTCGTGTGTGTACCCAGAGTGTGCCATTGTTATTGAAAACACTTGGAAAATCGACAAACTCGCTTTACAGCAATGACAGCAAATCTGCTAAATAAGTAATGACACTTGGTGACATTTAAATGTTTTTCCACAGCCAACCTACAGCTAACTGTCGGATTATATTCGTCTCTGTACTTATGTTCAAATATCTCAAAATCGGTGGGATTTAGGTATAGGGAATGCTTATACCAATGGAAAGAGAATTAACAGGTGCATCTACTGGCATTATAAAACACAGGGTGTTCTATTTAAAATAAGCGAGTTATTAAACTTTCAATTTGACACAATTGGTCCGTGTTTTTTAGACGCCCTGTGTAACATGCACCAACTTTCGAATATTCCAGATATTTGGACACGTTTTGGTATTGACCATCTAAAATTTCAGCTTCCTATCTTAAAAATTGGAGGAGATAGAACCGATTAAGTGTAGGTATGTTTTTTTCAAAAATTTTGAAAAAGTCAAAATATTTCAAAAACTATTGAGTTTAAGGATAAAGTAAGGTTATGAAACTTACCTTAAAATTCGATGTAGAATCCAAAAATTAAATAAAAAATAGTACATTCCATTTGAAATAAGCGAGTTGACGTCTACTTCCGGTAGAACCGGAAGTTCCACGGCGACGCCAATATTTTCAATCGATAGAACATTAGGAGAAACCCCCGTACATAAATTTTCAGAATTCCAGTACGCGTAGTTTTCCAGAAACGTCTAATTGAAGGTCTATCTGGAACACCCTGTATAAGCATATTACAGACCGTCTCTTATATGATGGCACAGTCCGTTTGTTACTAGTATTTTTGTCACAAAATCAAACTTAATGTTCTATTGATTGGCCTATTCCACAAAATTTTATATAGAACTTAGATTTTTCTTTTTGTTCTCGAAATGTTACCTGTAATCTAACCGATGATAATGCAAATGCCTTAATCTGATTACAGGGCTGCAAAGCCTATGCTTATGAATCTTGTAACCACTACGTCGAAGGTTCTGAAAAAGCAACTTGCGAAGTTTTAGAAGACCAACCAACTTGCGTCAAACAGTGTGACTCTAGTTCATTTAATTACGAAAATGAGCTTACCTTTGGTAAGAACGGCAGCGCTTACGCACTTAGTCTTGAAGATGCTCAAATACAACTGGAAATTATGACAAATGGGCCGGTGCAAGCGGAAATCGTATTGTACCGTGACTTTTACGACTACAAAAGTGGTGAGTATCTCACACATTCTATGTTCTTCTTCTTCTTCTAGTGGTTGGTTCTGTTCAAGTCACATAGCACCGCTGACTTATCGGGTCTATTGGGCGTCCCACTACTCAGTCCTATTCAGCACCTACTTGTGTTTCTTAAAGTGACAGTGTCCCGTCACTCTTCTGAGCCGAATTTGTTCTTTCCTTCAAATGATACTCCTTAGAATGGCTTTGCTCTGGCCTTGAAGTCCAGTATTTCCTGTGTTCTGTCCCAGTCCATGATCACACAGGGAGATGTACCGTAGAAGACCTTAGGGTCAATGAACTCTATTTCGGATCCCTTCCTAGCAAGTTCATCCGCTTTATCGTTCCCATTAATGCCTTTGTGTCTTGGCACTCAACAGTCTAATTGTATTGTATTAGCGGTAGCCAGTTCAGTCAGCATTTGTAAACATTCCCACACAAGTTTTGACTGTCAGAGAATATGAGTATATGTTTACAACTAATGTCTACCTATAAGCCTTGCACTGAGCAAATATAAATCTCAACCAGAGGACTTAATCGCCATTATCTTCTGAACGCAAGAGCCATATGTCTCTGGACTCTAAAAATTGTTCAAGCAGAGATATTAGAAACATTAACATGCCTTAAACATTCCTATTGATTTTTGCAACAAATATGTGAAACTAAAAAAACTCAGAAATGGTGTCAATTGTGCTACTTTCCTGTCATGTAAGGATCAATAGTCTATTTGCACTCTTCAAAATTTGCAGATATATCGAAAGCGAAAGTAGTTTCGACAACAACTCAATTATGTAAAAACAAGCTATGGAACTTATATTAAAAGATAATAGGTTATTTTAATGTAGTAGTAGTTTTTAACTCAAAGCACGTCATAATTACACTGATATAATTGTAATTATTATTTTGTTTCAGGTGTTTATCAACCAGCAGCAGACACATTTCCTATAGTACTTCATTTTGTCAAAGTGATAGGCTGGGGTGTGGAAAACGGCACTCCTTACTGGCTAGGAGCTAACTCCTTTAACACTGAGTGGGGCGACAAAGGATTCTTCAAGATTAGTCGTGAAGTCAAATCTATTCGATTGCTTGCGATTTTCGGCGGATTGCCGGAATTGTAAATATGTAGAAGTTACCTTCTAATTGGAATGGCATGTAATAATATATTAAATGCGTTAGCAAATCTGTAATCGTTTTTATAACCTTTTACCATTCAACAAAATCTTTTCTTCTAATAAATACTTGGAGACAATGCGCCTTAGGCATCACAGTGTATATTCAAACTGTTTGAAAGTTATGGATTGTAGATACCAAAATAACATACTTCACAAAGTCGTTCCAATAAAAGTGTCATAGCAGCAGATATAGAGATACTTGCATTTGAAGTTATTGAGATTCTAACGCCGGGTCTGTAATTAATAAATCATGCATTCCATCAACTCGTGCTTGCTGTCATTTCTAACAGTTCTTTAACATTTTAGTAAATGCTTCTGTCCTGGTGCATTGATATTAATTTGGGTACTAGCGTAAGCTCGTTGTGGACACTGTTGTTAGTATTTAATAATGTGAAATCATCCACAAAGAATATTGAATATGGAGTTCCACAAGGTTCCATGTTGGGTCCGTTACTGTTTCTGATATATATTAATGATTTTCCTAATTATTTACCTCGTGATACTAAAAGTATACGCTTTGCTGATGATACCAATATAACTAGAACCAACTTAAACTTTGAACAGTTAGTGACATCAACTTATGACCAACATGCATCGGTTGAAAACTGATTTAGTAGTAATTAACTTAGTTTGAATACTTCGAAGACCGAAACTATGATTTTTAGTCTCCGGAACATGAAAAACTGGGATAATTCAGCACATGTAAAATTCTTGGGAGTTTATCTTGACCCTAAACTGACATGGGATCAACATTTTAACTTTATTTGCTCCAAGATATCAAAACATACTTATTTACTCCGGAGTCTCAAACGAACAGTCTCAATATCAAGCTTGCTGATAGTTTATCATGGCTATATCCATTCCATCATAACATATGCTATTTTATTTAGTATGGGGTCATCTCCCTTCTATGGAAAAAGTGTTTACTCTTCTGAAAAAAAATATTAAAACCATACTAACTGTACCCTGTGTGTATACTTCAGTGTTTTATTTATTTCAGAAAACATATACATAACTTTGAAATCAGAAGTGAGACTCACTCTTATAATAACCGAAAGATCACATACTTATGTAATAAATTTCGTATTGTCAGTTTTGTATACTAGACAAGCCATTCTTAATTGAAAGCGTTCATCTAAATTAAGACATTTAAATTGTTTAAATTTTGCTCTAATGTGATCAAATTTGCGCAGACTATATGAAAATCCAATACATGCGTTTTGTATTTTTTGTAAGCTTTCCTTATCCTTGTTTAGAATGGCAGGCCAATAAACAGTATCACAGTAGGCTAGATTACTCAGAATTAAAGAATCACATAACCTTAATTTGATATCGGATGTTATATAATCCTTATGTATATAGAGTGATCGTAATGTAGCATACGATTTTTGTATTAAAAAGTTAACATGTTTTCTAAATCTAAGATTCTCATCCATATAGAGATAATTTTTTACAGCAATCAGATGGACTTACGACACTTACATTTACAAATATCTCCGAACTCCGAACTAATTAAGTCTTTATGCTTACCAACAACAAGTAGCACAGTTTTCGCACCATTTAAGATCAAACCATGTGCCTGAGATACCGGTAAAATACTTATTTACATCATTAATTTTTTTAACCGAAGAATCCAAAAGTCTTAACGGAAAGTGAAAATATAAATTAAAAGTCATCTGTATATTGATTGATCAGTACTCATATATTTAATAACTATATTAGGAAGATTCCCAGTATAAAGTGAAAAAAGCAAAGGGCCCAGTAAGCTTCCTTGTGGCACCCCCACGCCTATATTTATCAGAGCGGAAGAGATTCCATTTAAAAATTTTCTGGCGCCTTCTAGACAAGTAAGAGTGAAAAAACTTAACAGCGCTAGGATCAAGACCGAAATTTCTAAGTTTGGCACACTAAGTGGCATGATGAACTGTATCAAATGTCTTACTATAGTCAAGCAAAACTAAACAAACTGCTTCACCAATGTCACAGGCTCTAAATAGATCATCAGTCACATGTAGCAAGGCAGAACATGTACTATGATTAGTTCGATAACCGTACTGGGTAGAAGGCAAGGTGTTGAATTTATCCAAGAAGAGAGCAAGTGATTCAAAAACTATGTATTTTTTTCTAAAATATTCAAAAAGGTGCAAAGTAGAATGATCGGACGAAAATGTGTTATATTAGATGGTTCTGAGCATTTAGGTATAGGAAGAACTATAGCATCCTTCCAACATGTTGGTCATCAAACATTCATTAATAATAAAGGTAAACATGATCGGGTACCTAAATGAGGCTTAACCAAATTCAACATTTTACAGTTAATATCACCTACACCCCGCGCATTTGATTTTATAGAACTAATTAAGCTCCGCAGTTTGGACAGTGGCTCCTTCGTATATCTTCAAGTTTTTCTTTTTGGAACAATGTTAGGCTTTCACAGCACAATACACATAAGACTAGCTCCAGTTGGCGATCCTACAGTTATCCTTATTAACTTTCCATGGGCTTTTTAAAAACTTCTGGGTATGCTTCGGTCCTGAGGTTGTTCACCACCATGTTTGGTATCGACTTTGAATATGCAGGGAACAATTTTAGAAGAGTACGTGTACATTCTTTATTTGTTTCAATGGTGATTATATCTGTTAACAAATATAATAGGTTACTAATCTCTCAAGTGGCTTCATATCTATTATAGTAGCTTTCAATTTTTTTACAGATTGTAGATATATTAAAAAAACACTTAATATACAAATCAGCAACTTTTAGGATAGATAATAGTGTGTGTCAGTCCGTTAAGTACGTATACACTTGATGGATTAATTATCTTATAATCAGGCAATTTAATATTTGAATGCATAAAATGAAAATTTTCCAATTTATTTATCAAAGAAGTAGGTACTCAGAAAACTAGGAATCATAATATATATTACAGATAAAGGCACACTATACATAAATAGAGTCAGTAAGTTTCGAGAAACCAGTAGAACCAGTGATACACAATTAATTTGTACCCATTTATTGTAAGTAATACAAATCAGTAACAAATGCATACAGAAAATATTGGAAGATATGTTGGAAATAAAAAAAAAACTTCTAGTTTATTGAAATTCGAACAGACTTTTCACGTTTTTTAAATCTTTATTTAGTTCTGAAAAATTAAGTTAAGGATGGAAACTGATGCATTTCTGGTTGCTTAAATTATACCGAAAAATGGTAGAAAACAGCCCTTTTTTATTCCAATATATCAATTTAAAGCAATGGAAGAAAGTAGTAAAATTTCATATCACATTTGGCAAAGTATAAATGAAGACAGTAAAGCAAAAATTAATTGGGATAGGTAAATAATTCGTGAGAAATTAATTTCTAAATATGAAGGTTTTTTGGACTTTTACAAAGAAACGATTATTTCTTCATAGTATTATAGAATTATTATGCAATTTTTTATATAGTTGTCTTTAAATAAATAAACTGATTAGACTTTATTTCATAGTTTGTTCATCACTTTGGTATTTAAAAAGTTATATTGGAATAAAATTATTAAAAAATATTCATTCATTAATAGCATTATCTCCGACTTTTAATTCGCTTGATTTGTAATAGATGTCGCGCTAGTAAAAATTTATTTATGAATGGACTCGGGTTATTTTTAACGAACAGCTGTTGTATGTGGTTAATTTGGTATAACCTGATTCTGAATTGGTAGTCGTGGTTTCTGTTAATTGATACGTAAATATTTAAAGAATGTCATGATCATTTTAGATATATTTTTGTATAAAAGTATATAAGTAACAGTGCAAGTCCATACTATTATATAATTTTAGAAAATATGAAATATAAACAATTTTTAGTTTATTTAAAACCATAATTTATAATTAATATACCTATATTAGTATCTACGTTTAGTGGATAAGACGGAAAACATTTTTATTTTCTATTCTACTAGAAAAAGTAATTCGTGACAAAAAATATTTTGCTTTTTAATTGAATATGTTTGTCATGAAAAACTGTAATTTTTATATATATACAGGGTGATCAGAAATTTAACAAAATTAATAACGTTGAAGAATAAACTGCTTTTGTTTTTGATAATATAAAAAAATGTTAATAAGAAAAGTTGTTCATAACGGAAAGTTATGTTATAATTACGATTTGTGAATAAAGCGGCTTACTTTGGTATAAACAGAAATGGAAAATATTATATTTTTAATAATTAATATTAAGTAATTCTTGATAAAAAAAATTCGCATATTAATATAAATAGAATTTTAATTGTGAATATACATAATAATGAGAAAATATAAAAAATATGTACGATATACATAATAATGAGAAAATATAAAAAATATGTACGATATACTTATTTTGTCCAAAAAATGTGTAATGAATTATGTACAAAAGGACGATTTGAGACTACATTTTTTTATGAGAAATAGGTATTCAGTTCACTTCATTTGAAAAAATAGTTGTAGGTACTTTAATACCTCCAATATAAAGAGAAATTCTGTAAAACAGTGTAGTTTAATAAATATGTAGATAAATGAAAGTAATAAAGAAATAAATAGAATAGGTACAGTAGAATAGGAAAAAATTTAAAAAATCATAAAATAAAATTATTTCTTTTTATTAATTTGAGCTTCTATAATATATCTGGTAGTATACAATTTTTATAAAATTGTTCCAAATTTGTTGCCATTGATTTTTTCCATAATTCTTCATCTTTCTTAATTTGTTCTACATAGAGCGGGTTGTTTTCACCCCTATAGGTATATTACGAAATAACATATATATAGACTTCTTCCGGTTATATTTAACTGTCTCTGTATCTGAAAGTAAGAAAAGAATTTTACCAGATTTGTTATAAACATAGATAATTATACATGTTTACCTATTATGCTTTTGATTTACCATAATGATATACCTAGTCATATATAGGGTGCCACAATAGTGCGATAAAGTTTAGTATAACTGCCTGTAGTAGTGATACGAAAAAAGTTATACTTGCTCGGATTCACATTTTATTATTATTTCCATTATTCATTATTTTCAGACCGAATTAAACGTTCAGAAAATCTTCTTTTTGGCCTGAAGATTTTGTCCTATACAACTATAACTGAAAATAATTATAAACTTTGTCACATTATTGGAACAGCCTGTATGTGCATTGCAACGACAATATGCCATATTTATGTTACGGCTAAGTAAACGGAAAGTCCATTGTCGCATATGTAATTTTTATTTTCAAATAATCAAATACAATACCTACATATTTATTTTAATATCTATTATTTACTTGAATTTAGTACTAAGTACAACTATGCCTAGCAAATTGTAATACTTACTCTGTTAATGTTTTTTCCTTCATATAAAAAATAGTAAACTCCACAAATAAAATATTTCGCAGCCACAACGCAACAATAAAAGATAACAGCTCAAAGATCCATACAAGAAATAATTACATTCGCACCTACTCTGGTCCGAATCCATATAAGTAATAAAATGTAGAAAATAATATGAAATAAAACTTTTTGTTGGCTGCAAATATTATAAATTTGTACAACCACTTGCCATCCTCCTTTTTTGTAAATATGTACATAATAATATGTAGAAGATAGAAAATAGAAATATTTTCAGAACAAAAAACCGGCGGCCGCAAATAGGAGTTTTTATTATTTTACCCTTCTCTTTTCATATGCAATTATGAGATAGTAAGAGAGTGGGATGGACGTATAGGCCGGACAACTCATTATCGTGCACGTGTGCGTGCATCTGGCATTTTCTCGTTTTTTTTAGGTGGGTTTTGCTTGAATTTGAATGAATGAAATAATCGTACTATTTTTACTATAAACGTATTTCCTGTAGCGACATCTATATGAATATTTAGTACTTTGTTAGATGAAACGGGACTTCAATTTCCGTTCTTAAAAGAAAATTTTGGTATGATTGATCTCCTCCAATTCCCATGACAATGTTTATCTGTATATAACAATATGATTATATTATTTAGTTTACTAATTTATTTGAAAAATAAAAAGAAGAAACATAAATGACAGAACTGATATAAACTCCAATTCGTTAAAATTGTCTTCTTTAATCTACTATTCGTACATACATTACAACATTGCTTACTAACATATGTAGTTACTTCTAAAAATTGCTTCGTGATCAGTACAGTGGCTATCTATGTTGTAACTAGACATATTTTTTCATCTCACTGAAAATTATTTCAAGATTATTTATTAATAGTGTATAAGTATGACAATACGGATAATGTTTTTATAATTAAATAATGTCTTCTATAGAAACATAATATGCCTCATAGTTTTTTAATTACCAGAGCTGGCACAATTGTCCGCGTACCAAAGGCGAATCACAGTCGGTACGTAACATACTCGTAAATAGGCCAGGAAATATAAAGTTGGACGCGACTTTTTGTTTCGGCAAGCTGAATTTATCACTATAGATGCTAAATATTTTGTATAATAACATATTAGTTTCCACAGTCATAAAAATGGGGGGAAGATTGTTTACAGGCTGGTTAATTGTATAATTTTTACGTAAATTCACGTTTCTCGCTTACAACTTTTTTCCGCCGCGACAGGTCGATTTTTGACCGAAGGGGGACATCCAAAAATCTTAAAAGGGAAGGAGAATTAAGTGACATCGTTTGGAAGACATTCTAATTCTCTACATAACCGTGTTTTATTTTTACTTAATCAATTAGTTTCGGAGATACAGATTGTTAATGAAAAATACCTGCTTTTTACAAATTTACTTGCAATTTACTACATGTCATGTTCAAATTGATGACCTCCAGCCTCCATACAGTAATATAAGTTTTTTAAAAACGTTCACGCATATTTTGTAACGATTCTGGAGTAACTTGGTTGCATTCGCTGACAATGCGTTGGGTTAGATCTTGAAGGGAAGTAGGTGGAGTAAAATACATTTTCGACTTTAAGCGACCCTAGAAGAAAAAGCCCAAAGGATACAAATCCGGCGATCGTGTAGACCATTCAAAAAATATTATACAAACAAATTCTTTGTACGAAACACAGTAAACGCTCACTAACAACAATGTAAAATAAAAAAAAGTAAAATTATGTAGTTAAACGTACCTTCCTTTTTATACTTATAGAGGACGTTTCTGAAATAAGTGCGTTTCTTCGCAGGTAATTCGTTTAATTTGTGTGTTACTTTTAAACGAGATTTGAATTTTCAGCATTTTAGAACACAAAATTTAAACTGTCAAAACTGCCATCAGCACTTTCGCACTGCGGCGCGCGGCACCTTCGATATCAAAGGTACATGTGGCTGCCATACCAGGAGCGGCTTTAAATTTGTTTAAACCTTCATGTGATTTTTTTTTCAAATTAAAACGTAATGTAATCATCAGCTGCTTAATAAAAGTTACTCGTTCTCGTGCCCTCTACCGCCCTTTTCAAAGAACGCACTTATTTCAGAAACACCCTGTATAGGTAGCACGATATACACTCAATAACAATTAAAAATAAATATACTGGTGCAATAACTAATTCTATTTCTGTTGTCGAGTGCTGTATCGGATATTCAAGTCAATTTCAAGAGCACTTGCGCGAACCAATCTTTACAGTTTTATATTTTTTTCAAACCTTTATGCCATCCTAACCTATCATTATGAGTACAACCTAATCAACATTCCTTCCAGGTCAACATGAAGATCATTCTCTGCTTAGCTCTAGTAGTTGTGTCTCAGGCTCTACCCAGCGCAGAAGTCTACCCTCTATCCGATGAGGTCATCAACAAGATCAACAGTATGCAGTCCACTTGGACTGCTGGCAGGAACTTTCCTGTGAACACGACCGTGGACCAACTCCGAGCATTAGCTGGTGCCTTTTTAAAACCAGTGCAGACGCTGCCTACCAAAATGCACGATGTGAGTCTAGAAGACACCATTCCAGAGTCTTTCGATGCTCGTGAGCAATGGCTTGACTGTCCTTCTATTAGAGATATCAGGGATCAAGCGTCTTGCGGATCTTGCTGGGTAAATATCGACTAATCAGTGTATTACTTGGGGATTTGTTAATAATTCCATGAGTCTATCAGGTCTAAAATTAATAATTTGTTCTGTCTGTAGGCCTTTGCAGCCGTTTCAGCTATGTCAGACAGAATATGTATCCACTCCAAAGGTGAAAAGAAGGTGAAAGTCTCAGCAGAGGACTTATTATCTTGCTGTGAGGATGGTAGAGATGGCTGTTTTGGGGGATTATTAGACGCTGCTTGGAATTACTGGGTAGAAAATGGCATCGTCAGCGGTGGGGATTACGGAGGCACAGAAGTAAGTTATTATCAACTAAGTTTCCGATGTAATACTAATTTCAGAGTCATACTTCAATCACCCAATTAAGTAACAATTAATGTTACTTTTGTTACAACTTAAAAGCGACATTCGAATATCTTTAAATATAAATTAGGAAGTGGTTTGTATTGGGTCTATTATTATTTTTACTTTATACCAAATTTCAAATTTTACGTTTTGGTAATTACAATTCAAAACTGATAAAGAATTTTTAAGGTCAGTTGAGCATTTTTGATCTCAGTTTTTGATATGAATTCTAACTACAGAATGCAGTTACTTTGATATTAATATTTGTCACTCTCTGTATTACTTGGACTCCCACTAAAGACTTGCTCTTTGTGGGGTTACCTATAAAATTCAGTTTATAAATATTGGTTTGGATGATTTGGTTTCAAAGTATTATGATAAATTGTGTATCAGTTCTAAGACATATTTTAGAAAAAATAAGAACTGAGCTATACAGGGTGTTTTCACTTTAAATTTGGAAAATGCAGGAATGTATTCCCTATCCAAAATTAAGTGTAGTTTGCTCTATAAATTTTTTTTATGAATGCCTTTGTTTTGGAGATACAGGGCGTTGAAGTTAAAAAAAAATAAACACTTTTTGACATATCTCGGCTATCCACGAGTAGATTTGATTCAAACTTGGTACACATTTTGCGTATTGGGGGTTCTCATAATTAACAGAATATTAGTCCTATCGGATTAGCCAGTGGCGTGCAAAGGTAGGGATGCGTGGCACCTTTTTCAAAAAAAAGTACGCCATTGAGTTTTTCGAAGAATGTAAAGTAAATTTAAATACTACCATACAAAAGTACTCTAAAAGGTCTCTTGGTATTTTTCGATAATACGCAGCGTTCATGAGATTCTTGGACTATTAAGAATTCAGTGCATAAAAAAAAATTTCGACATTTAGTTTTTCGAAGAATGTAAACTAAATTTAAATACTACCATACAAAAGCAATCTAAAAGGTCTCTTGGTATTTTTCGATAATACGCAGCGTTCATGAGATTCTTGGACTATCAAGATTCCAATGCATGATAACATGGCACGGTAGTGCTGAATGAGAAAAAGAGATATTTTTCTTTGAATTCAAATGCTGCATTAAAATTTATAGCAACTTTTTTGTTTCGCAGCAAGTCAAGAACCTGTAAATATTTTCATTACTTTCCTCTACTCAATGTCGTAATTATTTTTTTTTCATGCATTGAAATCTTAATAGTCCGAGAGTCTCATGAACGCTGCGTATTATCGAAAAATACCAAGAGGCCTTTTAGATTGCTTTTGTATGGTAGTATTTAAATTTACTTTACATTCTTCGAAAAACTCAATGGCGTACTTTTTTTTAAAAAAAAGGGGCCACGCATCCCCCTTTGCACGCCACTGGCTAATGGGATAAGACAAATATTCTGCCAATTATGAGAACCCCCAATACGCATAATGTGCACCAAGTTTAAATCAAATCTACACGTGGATAGCCGAGATATGTCAAAAAGTATTTATTTTTTTTTAACTTCAACGCCCTGTATCTCCAAAACAAAGGCTTTCATACAAAAAATTTATAGAGCAAACTACACTTAATTTTTGATAGGGAATATATTCCTGCGTTTTCCAAATTTAAAGTGAAAACACCCTGTATACAGCGTGTCCCACTAGTGCGGAAAAGTCCAATATCTATGTTAAAATGAGGAATATAGGGATTTTTCTTTTTACTGGGTTGTCACATTTCTGAGAATGTAGAATAAAAATATATTCAACTAAACAGGGTGTTCCACTTTTCCTGGACAGACACCAACTTTGGCTTTTTAAATGGAAACACACATTTTTCTATCTTCTATATATTATTATATATTCTACATAAAAAATAAAGGGTACTTTGTGTAGAATAGTTCTATTCAAATATTCACAGTTTTTGAGATATCTCGCACGAAAGATTTGTCTAGTCCATATTGGTTGCTTACATTTTCTGATACTGACAGGTTATACTAATAGCTACTAAGCCCATTTTATTATCAGATGTTTAGTAAGGATGACTCTTCTCGATTATGCTCCAAAAACTGGCCTGCGTTATACAGGGTGACCAAAATATCATGTCAAAATTGCCAATTGAAAAATTGAAAAATCTCGAATTTTTTAAATGTAACGTCCTGTATATTTTCATACCATGAGATGCAGATTTAAATTCTCTACAACTTTGCTATACCTGCTTCTATACCAAAATTCATTAGTTTTTCATGAAATCTCATTTCTATGAAAAAAATGCGAAGTTTACAAATAGCTTATATGTAAAATAACGTAGTAGGCTCCTGTCAAAGGATAATCTGGAAAATTTTCGATTCACATAAGGTTTAATAGAAAAGCGACAGTAATAATTGTGAAATGAATTACTCTAAAAAAGAGTTAGTAAATAACAGAATAATTAGTAAAACTCATGGTAACTGTTTATTGGCAAGTCGTATTTACCAAACTGATAATCCAGATTTACAAAGATATCCTCGTACAAAGTGTTTTGTAAAACTGAAGGAGAGGTTTGAAAGAACAACAAATACAAATTAAGAGAAGACAACAAGAACACACGCATGCAGTCTCCAAAACAGTAAATTAACATCGTGCATTTCTAACAAAAGTAATAAAGACCTAGTTGAATTAGTAATTAACAGGTAACCGCTCAAAATGTCTGCCATTTTTCTATAGACATTGAGCAATTCTACGACGAAAATTGCTTGACTCATTTCGCAGCATTTCCAGAGTTAGGGTCAAAAAAAGCATTTCTTATCTTTGCCTGTAAATCTTCTACATCTGTCGGAGGAGTTTCATACACCCTGTCTTTTATATAGCCCCATTAAAAAAAATCAAGACAAGACAGATCTGGGGATCGGGGAGGCCATGAAATTGGCTACCTATCCTCTTATCTGGATACAAACCATTTAAGTATTCTCTAACCTGAAACAGTTTTTCTATGAATTTACATAACTTACATAATGAGAAAAATTTACCGCCAGTGTGGAATGTGCAGGGGCACCATCATGTTGGAATCACTACTGTTTAAGTCACCCGGAGGAATATGTCCCTGCAATTGGAGCAAGTCGTTTTGTAAAAATTTCAAATACCCATTACCAGTTAAGTTTCCTTCAAGAAAATGTGGTCCAATGACATATTCTCTGCATATTCCCGCCCAAACGTTGACTTTAAAGTGGTGTTGATAATCGTCTTGTCTTATTAAACTGGAACTATGATCGGCGTAATGGTGATAATTATGTCGACTCTCTCGACCAGTATTGGCAAAGGATGACTCGTCAGTAAATAACACCTTTGAAAAAAAAATTCATCTTGTTGTAGCTTTATAGTTGCCCACGCACAAAACTGTACTCGCTTCTGAAAATCTTGCTGTGTTAAGAATTGGTGATGCTCAGAATGATGGGGTGGAAGTTGTTTTTCTTTAACGTTCTATTAACCACAGTTTTGGAAATACTAATTTCATCACTAATTTCTCTGACACTTGTAGATGGATTTTGGACTGCACATTCCAAAATGTCAATTTGACTATCCTGATTACCACATGCGTGTGTTCTTGTTGTCTTCTCATAATTTGCATTTGCCGTTCTTTCAAACCTCTCCTTTAGTTTTACAAAACACTTTGTACTAGGATATCTTTGTAAATCTGGCTTATTAGCTTGGTAAATACGACTTGCCAATAAACAGTTACCATGGGCTTTTCTTCTTCTATTAAACCTTTCTTTCTATTAAATCTTATGTGAATCGAAAATTATCCAGATTATCATTTGACAGGAGCCTACTACGTTATTTTACATATAAGCTATTTGTAAACTTCGCATTTTTTCATAGAAATGAGATTTCATGAAAAACTAATGAATTTTGCTATAGGAGCAGGTATAGCAAAGTTGTAGAGAATTTAATTCTGCATCTCATGGTATGAAAATATACAGGGCGTTACATTTTAAAAAATCGAAATTTTTCAATTTTTCAATTGGCAATTTTGACATGATATTTTGGTCACCCTGTATAACGCAGGCCAGTTAATGGAGCATGATTCGGAAGAGTCATCTTTACTAAACATCTGATAAAAAAATGGGCTTAGTAGCTATTAGTATAACCTGTCAGTATCAGAAAATGTAAGCAACCAATATCGACTAGAAAAACCTTTCAAGCGAGATATCTCAAAAACTGTGAATATTTGAATAGAACTATTCCACACAAAGTACCCTTTATTTTTTATGTAGAACCTGAAAAACATATAAAAAATGTGTTTCCATTTAAAAAACCAAAGTTGGTGTCTGTCCAGGAGAAGTGGAACACCCTGTATAGTTGAATATATTTTTAATTTGTACATTCCGAGAAATGTGGCAACACAGTAAAAAGAAAAATTCATATATTCCTCATTTTAAGATAGATATTGGACTTTCCCGCACTAGTGAGACACGCTGTATATGCGTTTACCGAAATGGATAAAGTTTACTGTGATTAAATGATTTTCGCTATTTAATTTTGTCTAAATAGTTACGTCAATGTTCAAGATTCCTAACGATTGATATTGCGGGAAACTAGCATAGAATTATACCTGTTGTAATAAATATCGCCCTTTAAAAAAATATTTTTTACAATTTTGCGCCATAAATAGCGTTATGACATTTGCTACATAGAATAATTGTAGTCATTTATATGCACTACACAAAATACTTGTACGAAACTTAGATATTTTTTATTTTTGGTACATAATGCCTTAATCTGATTACAGGGCTGCAGAGCCTATTCTTTTGCACCTTGTAACCACCACATCGAAGGTTCTGAAAAACCAGATTGCGAAATACCATTCGAAGCACCAGCTTGCGTCAAACAGTGCGACTCTAGTAAACTTACTTACAAAGACGAGCTTACCTTCGGTAAGAAAGGCAGCATTTACCTGATTTCTTCTGATGAGGCTCAACTCAAACTGGAAATCATGACAAATGGGCCGGTAGAAGCCGCAATCACAATGTACTCTGACTTTTACACCTACAAAAGTGGTGAGTGACATCTTATGTTGGCAATAGTGGAAGGTTACTCGGTAAATCGTACCGTCGCCATTGTATATTTGATAATTAACTGAAAGAGACGATTGCCTATGTAATTTTTCGAAAGCTGTCATAAGTATTCCTACGCGCCTAAGCATATAATATTTTATTGTGGCCTAACACATGGTTTTGCTTTTGTTACCTTGCTTTAACCCATGTCGCACCTGTGTAAGTAGGTATAATTTATTTACTGTTAAAGAATACGATCAATTGCCTATATTGAAATACAATGTAGATTCTACCAGCAACAAGTCCATTGTTTAACATTCTCCGTAAAGTAAAAAATCTAACTAAAAAAACGAAACTGTTACTTGGTTAATGTCTCGTAAAGGGAAACCAAGTAATAGTATTTCTCAATCTCAAATAGAGATATAGGAAGAACAAGATCAAGAATGTTGGGACAGAAGTAGCATTTGCGAATCGAACATCCAAAGGAACTACTTAAGGACCTTCATTTGAGTGATTGAGAAACAGTTCAGCTTTATTACCTTCATAAATCAAACGCACCATTGCCAGCAATAGTGAGCCACTCGTTGGAGAATTTATTACCAAGATCAAGGGAAACCAACTTGATATCTTAACGACGTTGTTATTAATAAGAGTTTTGTCACCGCCCAGAAACAAGGTATTGTACATTAGTAAGTCCCTCATCTGCCAACTGTAGACTAGAACAATTAGAGCATGCAGAGTGTGGCATCAAAAGAACGCCCAAATAAAAGAAAAATATCTGACATCGACCTATTTGTCCAATACACAAGGATGCACTGACAACATAGGCGACATCTTAAGGATACCCAATATTAATACAGTCTATAGCACCTCAAGGAAGATAGGGACAACCCTTTCCAATACGAGCTATAATAACAATCTACTTCAAAGTCCCTGTCTATATTATAGTATCCTATTTAGCTGCAGAAATGTGCACAATTGACAAACGTCATCTGAAGAATAACAACGTAAGTAAAATCAGCAGTTGCGAATCACAAGACACAAGTAGAACACGCGATAGACATGACTAATATCCGAATTTTGTTGAGACAGAGAAGATCTTGGCGAAAAATCTAGAATAAAAGAGATAATTTCAATGTGACGAGCAGTTAGGGCTCCTACAACTAATCCTCAAAATCAGTGACCAGAACGACATGGGCCTATATCTACGTACAAACCATGTACGATATAAAATTAAATGACAACCAGAGGACATAATCTCCAATCTCAAAGTTTCTTCTGAAGAAGGGAACGATGTATCTATCGAAACGTCAAAAAATCTAAACAAACGACAGCAACATGGTAACCAGTCGGTAAACTGTTCAAGGAGAGGTATAGAAACATGAATATATCTTAGACATTCTTATCCATTTTTGGAACAAATAGAGAAAACCCGTCAGAGAACTTGAAAATTGGTACCACATTAGCTACATTCCCTTCATATAAGGATAAATTGTATCAGTTTATTTGTACAGATCAAACTTGCCAGATTTATCACTAGTGATTATCATTTTAGAGACACTTGTTTGCACAGCTTTCCCTTTCTCCAAAAATTGGTGTCGAATTCGTTGATTCCTCAAAATAATATTAAATTTTCAATTTTATCAGTTGGGTCTCGAAAGCGAAACATATTTCGACCACTACCTCCCTAATACTTTTCGTGGAGACTATTGGTGACGTTTAACCGATACTGAATATGCTGTATAACGAGCTTTTATCATTCTATAACACCATTTCAAAACAAGCTATTATAGAATTTATATTAAAAAGAATAGGTTTGTCACAGGTTATTTTAATGTAGGTGTTTCGTAACATTTCACTAACTTTTAATTCAAAGCGTACCATAATTACGCTGACATTTATTAATTATTATTTTGTTTCAGGTGTGTATCAGCCGATAGATGGATTTATTACAGGATTTCATGCTGTCAAACTGATAGGCTGGGGAGAGGAGAATGGCACTCCTTACTGGCTAGGAGCTAACTCCTTTAGCACTGAGTGGGGCGAAGATGGATTTTTCAAGATTAATCGTGAAGACAAACGTACTCGATTGTTTGAAGTTTACGCCGGATTGCCCGAATTGTAAATAATTAGAAGCTTCTGATTACAGTGCCTAAAATTAAAAGTATGAACAAGTCTAATCGTTTTTCTAACCTTTTACAAACATTCAACAAAATTAAAATCAGACACATGTTTGCATTTTACCTCAAGAATCTTTAATTTGTCTGAAAATTGGAACATGAGAGCTATAGGTACAGAGTGTTTCCGACAGCGGAGCTTTAAATTTAAAGGAATTAAAGCAAATACCAAAATAATATATTTCATATAGTTGATAATTATTTTTATGAAAATATTTTTGCCTCACACCGAAAAGGCAGAGAGGCAAAATACATAGCTCTGTGTATAGCGCACTTTAAAAAGTTGTTGACTTTTGCAAATTTATTTGTTTTCCTCTTGCGAATTGACAACGATTTTACGCTTTTAAATTATTTTTGACATTTTATTTCTGTTTTCGTAGTTACAGTTATCATATGACGTTTATTTTATTATTACTTAGTTCATCTTGTAGCCGATAAGGATATAAGTATATGGAGTAATTTTAAATCATAAAATCACCATACAACAAAATAATTGCCTCCGGTAAATTTCTTTCAACGGTACCATTTTTCTTTCCCCCAAAATTTTGGTAGAACCTCATAGAATTATATGACCGTTTTCCGTGATTTTAATTTATAGCGAATGGTTAAAGAATATAATGTGCTATTCTTTGCCTCTACTGTAGTTGTCTTCTATCAGGTCAATATTACTCAGATGTTTCCTCGATCTACAATCCTTATTGACTCTCGATAGTCTTTTTAAAAACTTCTGACGTATGGTCCTTTTAAACTTCTGAAGTATGTAAAACATTTTCTTAGCATACAAATTAAATTAATAAGCTATATTTAGATTATCCAGTAGGACGAAAACACTATATTATTAGAACATCGTGTACATTCTTTATTTGTTTCAATATTGATTATATCTCCTAACAAATGTAGTACGTTACTAATCACTCAAGTAGCTTGTGGTGGACTCATACATACCTACATACCTTTATGTTTTCCAGTTTGTTTATCAAAGGCGTAGGCACTCAGACATCTAGACATCACATTATAGATAAAGGCACAAAAAAATCAGTATGTTTAAAGAAACCAGTGGAACCAGTGATACACTGTCAGTTAATTTGAATCTATTGTAAGTAGTATGCATACTGGAAACATTAGTAAAGATGTTGGAATTAAAAGAGAATTTAGGTTATTGAAATTCAAATCAACGTTCATGTTTTTAAAGTCTTTATTTAGTTTCTTAAAATTTAGTGGATCGTTCAATGAATTAATTTAATTTTTGAAATTTTTAAGCTAAAAGAATGTTTTAGTAAGATAAGTTTTAAAATTTGGTCTCATCCAATTCCTGTGACAATTTTTTATTGGATACTACAATATTACTATATTATTTAGTTTACTTATTTGTTTGAAAGTTTTTATTTGTTAACAACATAACATCACAACAATATAAATGTTTTAATGCAAGAACTAGTACTATTTTTTGTTGACAAGTGCTGTGCCGGTTGCTTACCAGATAACTGATTCTTGCATCGCTTCGTGATATTTTCAAAGTGTGAACTTGCGCAAACTAAAGCTTTCAGTCTTACCTTCTTCGCATACCTGCTATCCTAATACATATATCATTGTGGGTACAATAAAATCAACATTCCTTCCAGGTCAACATGAAGATCATTCTCTGCTTAGCTCTTGTAGTTGCGACTTACGCTCTACCAAGCCCAAATATCTACCCCCTATCCGATGAGGTCATCAACAGAATCAACAGCATACAGTCGACTTGGACTGCTGGCAGAAACTTTCCTGCCAACACGACCATAGACCAACTCCGAGTATTAGCTGGCGCCTTTATAAGACCAGTGCAGACGCTGCCTACCAAAATTCATGACCTGAGTCTAGAAGATACGATCCCAGAGTATTTCGATGCCCGTGAACAATGGCCTGACTGTCCTTCTATTAGAGATATCAGGGATCAAGCGTCTTGCGGGGCTTGCTGGGTAAATATCAACTGATCAGTGTATTACTTATGGACTATCCATCAGATTTAACTTGTTCTATCTGTAGGCGTTTGCTGCCGTTTCAGCTATGTCAGACAGGATCTGTATCCACTCTAAAAGCGAAAAGAAAGTAAAAGTTTCAGCAGAGGACTTATTATCTTGCTGTGAAAATTGTGGATACGGCTGTGATGGGGGATACTTGGAACCTGCTTGGAATTACTGGGTAGAAAATGGCATTGTCAGCGGTGGAGAATACGGAGACACAGAAGTAAGTTAGGCAAGGCATTCTCAATTAAGTTTATTAAAGTTTTTCCACGTGTATCACTGTCTAAAATCATTTAAATGCATTACCCAAATTGTTGCATAAAACTTAGATATTGTTCTTTGTCTTCGTGATATCGTTATTTGTATATCTAACAGATGCCTTAACTTGATTACAGGGCTGCAGAGCGTATTCTTTTGCACCTTGTAACCACTACGTCGAAGGTTCTGAAAAGCCAGATTGTGAAACGGTAACCGAAACACCAGCTTGCGTCAAACAGTGTGACTCTAGTTCACTGAGTTACAAAAATGAGCTTACCTTCGGTAAGAAAGACAGCGTTTATACGATTATTTCTAATGAGTCCCAAATCAAACTAGAAATTATGACAAATGGGCCGGTAGAAACCTCAATCGCAATGTACGCTGACTTTTACGCCTATAAAAGTGGTGAGTACCTATGACATCATATGTTACCAATAATAGGGGATAGTACCTTTACTTAAATTAGGTCATTATGTATTTGATAGTTTACTGAAGGAGACTATTGTCTATAGCATTTTTCGAAAGCTTTCATAAGTATTCTTGTGTATATGCGGGTGCCTAAGCATATATGTAACAATTTATTGTAGGACAATATACGATTTTGATTTTGTTACCTTGCTTTAACAGTAGCCCACGTGTGTAGTACCTGGTCAAGAACAATCCAATCAAGAAAGTTGGGAGTTGGCTTCTGCGATTCGAACATCCACCTTTCCAAATGAACTAAATAGGAACTTTAATTCGAGTGATTCGGGAACAATTCTACTTTATTTTCTTCTACAAGCCAAACGCACCACTGCCACCAATACTGAACATAACTGGATCAGCCACTCACCGACTCGCCCAGTATGTGTTACACCAAACTAATGATGGATCATGTCAAAACGTTGGAGAATTTATTGGCAGGATCAATGGAAACCAACTTATTCTTGGCCATATCCTAATGAGCTTTAACGTGGCTTTGTGATTAATAAAAGTGCCAGTTATAAAGGTTTTGGAGGAACTTCATCACAGAAAATTTAGTTGACTTCGCAAAGCTGTGCACTAGATCGACTTTTTTCTCCTTTAGCAAGCAGCTATAGAGAGCTTGTTTCCAACTTAATTAATTATTATCTATACTGACGCCTTTGAAACTAAAATCATAGAGTCAGCAATTCTAACCAGAATCAGATATGTTGACGACACATTTATTATCTAGCCCCATTGGATATAACGTAGTATTCTTGAATCACATCAGTGAAATATATTTGGACATCAGCTTCATCATGGAGATGGAAGAAAGTAATACCCTGTCGTCCTCTATGTTCATGTTATTCTTATCCATTTCTGCAACAAACAGGGGAACCTGGAAGAAAACCTGATAATTTGTACCACTTTAGCTACCTTCCCTTCATGTATTGGTAAATCGTATCAGTTTGCACAGCTTTCTCTCTCTTCGTAAATTGGTGTCGAATTCGTTTATTCCTGAAATAGTCTTAATTATTTCAATTTCATCGGTTTGCGCTTCGAAAGCGAAACAAATTTCGACCTGATTTTTATCATACAGACTATTGGTGATGTTTGACTGATACTGGACATGTTGTATGAGCTTTTATCATTCTATAACACCAAAAAAGATAGGTTTATCGTGGGTTATTTTATTTGCAGGAAGTTATTTCGTGACACTTTTAATTCAAAGCACGCCATAATTACAGTGATATAATTGTAATTATTATTTTGTTTCAGGTGTATATCAGCCGACAGAGGGGATTATTTTAGGACATCATGCTATCAAAATAATAGGCTGGGGTGAAGAAAATGGCAATCCTTACTGGCTAGGAGCTAATTCCTTTAACACTGACTGGGGAGAAGATGGATTCTTCAAGATGAATCGTGAAGACAAACGTATTCGATTGATTTCAGTTTATGCTGGGCTGCCTGAATTGTAAATAGTTAGAAGTTACCTTCTAATTATAGCCCCTTGTAATAATAATTGTAATTATATATTGTAATAATTGTATATTGTAATTGTACGATTAAAAGGATCGACAAGTCTGTAATCGTTTTTATAAGCTTTACAAAACATTCAATACATTCAGACTTTTCTTGATATAATGTGTTTGCATTACGCCTTAGGAATCATAGTATGTATTCAAATTGTTTGGAATGAGATTTTTTTTTATTTATTTATTGGATATTTTGCCACCTGCGAAAAAATTAAAAATATATAATGAATTATGAAAATACCTAGTTTTTCCTAACCAATAATTTCACATTGAAAAAAAAATCAGACAAATACAAAATACACGTCTCTATGCATCGTACACTTGTGTTGACGTTTCGAGAATCTATTTATTTTAGCCTTGTGAATTGAGTTACACTCTTAGAAAAATATTACCCAAAATTTTGGGATTTTTTAAAATATCTCTTAATTTCTGTGCCTAATTTATTTGTAGCCAACAAGAATCTAAGTTTGCAGACTACAAATTATCTTACGGTATTATTTTCCTATCCTCCAAAGTTTTGGCCGAACCTCAGTAAATTATATCACCGTTTTTCACGATTTTAATTTATAGTAAATACTTCAAAGATTCACGTAATATTCTAAATTTAGAATATTTTACATTTAGAATAGTAGAAACGAAAACGAAAGAAGTACACAAAAGAACAAATGAGAAACTCAGGACCATAAAACAACCCGTTTATAAGAGAGTTAAAACAATGCCCTTTGTTTAGAAAAGGATATACAAATGTACTTTGACTTTGAGTGTTTACATATTATTTTGTTATATTTAGTGACAATGCGCCGATAGTTAGTCATGTAAAGTTCAAAACAATGCATTGTAATAGTAAGGTAATAACAATAGTTGTGACTGAATAGAACTACAAGGAATTAATTTTAAAATATTAAGGAAGAAAAGGGTATTTTCGAGTGTTATGTTTCCCGTGAAGAAAATACTAGTGTTTTATAATAATTCCATCCCATTGTAAACAAAGAACGTTATTTTAACTCTCTTACAAACGGGATATTTTATGGTCTGCAATTAGTCCTGATTTGATCTCCATTTTCTTCTTTCTATGAAGAACACTGGAAGATAAAGTAATCAAAGATAACTTATATGATCAAATAAAGAAAATGAGGTAGATGATATAGCGTATTATGTACTTTATTCAGAACAGAATTATAACGCGTAATTAGTAAATTTTGATCCACAGTATAATCTTGACTGGACTGCGTTATTATTTATTTGCCTTTAGTAACGCTTATACTGGTTGTCTTCCATCAGGTCAATATTACTCAGATGCTTCCTGGATCTACAATTTGCAGTTAGCAATTCTGCTGATGCCCTTATTGATTTTCCATGGTCTTTTTAAAATCATCTTGTCGTTCTTCTGTCCGGGAGTTTCTTAGCACCATTTTTGGTATCGTCTTTAAATATACACGGAAATATATTAGAAGAGTAGGTTAGGTTGTGAAACAATCTGAAAAGCAAAAAGTATGTACAATATTTTCTTATTGGCGTGGAGTGAATCCATACCTAGGAGTTATAGATTTTGAAAAATTAATTTTTAAAGAAATTTGACATATGCAAGGGTTCGCGGAGATGCTAGTTACTCTTTGCAGGAGCGTGATATCAAGCGGATTTTTGGTACCTGTAAATGGCATAGGTAACACTACATCTAATTAATTTCAACATTGTATATCCTAATTAATCATTTATGAGTGATTTATTTTTGCAGTCAATATTTAGTTAGTTAAAAACCAAGTCTGAGTAAAAAATGACTCAATAATAGTTAAATTTAAATCATATTAGAGAAAAAGTCAACTCTAAATTGGTTTTATATACTCAGGATAGAGTCAACAGTCACTCAATTGATAGTTAGCAGTAACTAGGATTTGAGTAAAACTCACTCATTTCTGATGCAATAGTTTCACTCAGATTGTTGTACTCATACTAATAGACTTAAAATTTCACTCAATCGAGTGTGAGTAAAAATTGATACATTATTGAGTAAAATTGAGTGAAATTTGAGTGAAATATTTTTACAGCGTAGAACATCGTGTATATTCTTTATTTCAATAGTGATTATATCTCCTAGCAAATAATGTTACTAATATCTCAAGTAGCTTTTAATGAACTCATATCTGTGGCAATGATTTTCAAATTTTTTACAAACTGGAGATCTCTTAAAAAACACATAATTGCAAGTCGATTTCATTGTTTCTATATTTTAAGTAGATATACTTGTATATAACAGAACATTAGATTTTTGGTTAGATATTGTTGTATCGATCTGTTAAGTATTAATACACTTGTCCTATGAATTATGTTTTATTCTCATGCGACTTGATATTTGAATACATAAAATTAAAAATTTCCTTTTTATTTATCAAAGACCTAGGTACTCAGAAGATTAGACGTCATATATATTATAAAGATACACTATGCGATACTAAAGTCAGTAAGTTTCAAGAAACCAGTGGAACCATTGGCAGTCAGTTATTTTTTTATTGTAAGTAGTACAAATAAGTTACAAATGCCTATAGAAAATATGTTGAATGTTTTAAATCTATTTTAATTTCCTAAAATTTATTCAAGCAATGAACTGAATTTTCTACATTTTTAAGCAAAAATAGGTTTAGTAGGATGCCCTAAAATTTGATCTCTTCCGATTCCTGTAGCAAATTTGTTGCTGCATATTATTTAGTCTACTTATTTACTTAAAAAAAATAAGTATAATAGGAAAAACGTAAATGGCGAATCAGATTTAAACTCTATTTCCTTTAGATTTTGTCTCTGTGTCGCACCATGTATTTGTCTATGACACTTCTGATTTACTTCCAAAACTTTCGCGATCAGTACCAAGTGGATTATATGTTTTTTGGGTCGCTGAAACGGAATCCGAAATCTGTTTTGGCCCATCACGTCAACGTTTTTTCTAACCTCAAATAAACAGCTTGAAACTTACACTCAACAATATCAACCCTTAAACCATATAACCCTACACTTTCACAACGCAATAACCTTGAGATCGATAACCTATAACTCTAAAATCCATAACCTGAAAATCTATAACCTCAAATCTCATAAAACTCAAATCCCAATAGACTTCAAACAGAAAATGAGCAAAAAAAACAAAAAAACTTAGATTAAGGGACTCACGTAGTTCAAGCACTCCAAAGGGAACAGATGCCTGCTACGTCCACGTAGTTGTTCCTGGGTATCGCTAAATATAGGTTATTAGAATGCAAAAAATCTTGACCTTATTGAGTATTCGAATTACAGTTTTCGAGACCCAATCTTTATGAGAAATAAGAACTGGTTCAAAATTTCTTTCTACAAAACAAGAATTAAGTCTCGGATATAAATTTTTATTATAACTTTCTGAGATTAGGCTTTTGAAGGCTCAGTCGAAAATCTTTTTGTTGTCACGATTATGGGGCTATAAGGTTATGACATTTCTGGGTTATAGGATTGTAGAGTTTTGGGGTATAGGATTATGGACTTTTGGGATTATGGGAGTTTTCAGGTATTAGGTTGTACGGAGTTATGAAGATGTGGAGTTATGATATTAAATTGTACATGATTTGGAGTTATATTGTGACATGCAATTTTCTTCTGTTACACTTCAGGAGTTTATGGAGGTTATGGAGGAGGTTATGAAGTGATGGAGGTGTAGAATTATGAAGTTAAAACTCTCCGAGATTGAGATTTGAATTTAGCTTGTGCACAACTTTGTGTTCTCCCGCTAAGAAATGCGTAATAGCCACAACGAAAGGAATGATTTTCAAACAGTGTGTTCTCATTTACATATTTTAAATTTTTTTTTAATAAAAATTGTCAATTGTCACAATTTCAAGTCGAACCAAAGTTTTCAATTTAAAGTTTTTCTCTTACCTTTCTAACAATATCATTTTCACTACAACCAAATCAACATTCCTTCCAGGTCAACATGAAGATCATTCTCTGCTTAGCTCTGGTAGTTGCGTCTCAAGTTATTCCCAGCGCAGATTTCTACCCTCTATCCGATGAGGTCATCAAGAAAATCAACAGTATGCAATCCACTTGGACTGCTGGCAGGAACTTTCCTGTGAACACGACCCTAGATCAACTCCGAGCATTAGCTGGTACCCATTTTAGGCCAATGAAGACTCTGCCTACCAAAATGCATGACGTGAACAATGGCCTGACTGCCCTTCTATTAAAGTAATCAAAGATCAGGCTAAATGCGCGTCTTGCTGGGTAAATATTGAGTGATCAGTGTATTATGGGTTCTATAATATACCCCCGCATCTAGAATTAACAGTAAATAAACAACGTACATGTTTATAGGCCGTTGCTGCCGTTGGAGCTATGACTGACAGGATTTGCATCCATTCTAATGGCGAAAAGAAGGTAACAGTCTCAGCACAGGACTTATTAACTTGATGTGAGTATTGTGGAAGCTGCTATGGAGGACTTATGGATGCAGCTTGGAGATACTGGATACAAAACGGCATCGTCACCGGTGGAGAGTATGGAGAAACAGATGTAAGTTTGGGCAATAAATCCTCAACCCAGTGTTATTCTAGTTGAAGCTCTCCAGCCGCATATTTCGAAAGTCAGTAGAGTCTACTAAATGTTATTATATAGCATACATAAATAACATTAGTTCTGATTAAATCAATATTACTTTCTATAGCGGCAAACAAATGATAAAGTAAACGTCCATAATTCGTTTATAGGGCTGCAGAGCATATTCTTTGGAACCGTGTGACCACCACATCTTAGATCCTAATAAAACAACCTGCGAAACATATGGCCCAACACCTGCTTGTGTCAAACAATGTGATTCCAGTTCACTCAGTTACGAAAACGAGCTTACTTTCGGCAGAGAAGACAGTATTTACATGATTTCTACCGACGAGACCCAAATCCAACTGGAAATCATGAAAAATGGTCCAGTGGAAGCCGGATTCTATATGTACTCTGACTTTTACGCCTACAAAAGTGGTGAGAACCTGTGTCGCCTTCTGGTACTAACTAACTGTAGGATGAAGTAGCGTTAATCGT